ACGTTGAGGTGAGTCAGAGGAGTCGATGGTGCAGTGGAAGTGGATGGGCTTCAGGGGTACCGTACTGTAACTTTACTATCAAGCAACTCGAGATGGTGGGACTTGGCGAATCTACGGTCATTGAGCGCAGGAGGTCGCGCAGGAGGTCGCGGAGGAGGGCGCGGAGGAGGGCGCGGGCGAGGGCGCGGGCGAGGGCGAGGGCGAGGGTGTCGAGAAGAGCGTGGGCGAGCTTCAATATGAATGTGGGTGTTCGCAGAGCTGTGAAGTGGTAAAATCTTGCGATCAATAGCGAGCGCTGTACAGCGGTACATCTTGTCATGGTGCAGTTGAGCCGCAACATCCAACGCGAGAATGTGAAATGTACTCCTACTAAAGATAGCTAACATAGACAGACTCCACCCCCCTCACGCAATCCTCGTCGGAATATCGAACTCTCGATATCACCTTGGCAGCAAGATGCTCAAGATCGGAGCTCGATCTTTCCGCCATACCTTGATAGTAGTGACAAGGACAGCGACCTTGACACAGATATTCTTAAGGCTGTCGACCAGAATCCTACTGCGTGATGGCGGGCAATCCTATAATTTCTCGCCCAAGGATTCCCACCATTTCCCAAGCCAAAGAAACGGACCCTCCCAGAAACTTTAATTCCTAATCTCCACGTACGCGCTCACTGCTGCAGTACTATCACTCGCGTTTCATCAACTTCATTCAGCCACGCAGTCTTCCGAGCCTACCCTACAGACGACCGACTTCCCACACCTTTCTCCATCAGGCTTTTTATAAATCCCATTCCAGGTTCATTGATACGCTCCTTCTCTAGATGCTGTACAGGAAACTCCATTAACCTATGCACGTAAAAGCCTGCGGTCCTAAGTAGTGTCTAGCCAGTTAGAATCCTGTGCACAACACATCCACGAGACCAGATTTGTGTATTCGGAGTGTTCACGGTTGCCAACGGTGTGGACGCCATATATGTAGTCATCCCGCAGTATGTTTGAAGCACTGTATCGTTGTTCTGCACGCCGAAGTCGCCAATCTTGACAAGTATAGGAGAGAGTGATACCACAAATATATTCTAGATGGCGTTGATTAGCGGCCTTACTTCGGTTGACGGGGAGAAGTTCTGTCATGTAAAACTCTGAGACTTAACCTCAGGCTGCAAGTTACGATGCGTGATCCCAAGATTGTGCATAATAACCAGCCCCTCGAGGAGTTGGATAGTAATGAGTATAGCATCGACTTCCGTCCATGGTTCCGTAAGGTGTTTCCCAAGGTCACCATACTGAATACACTTCATCGCAATAGAAACAGAGTCACCATCCTCAAACGATTCCAAAAACTAGACGAAGTGCTATATGGATCATAAATAGTGGAATGATGGGTTGCGTCGAATGAAAGAATACTTCTTTCAGAGAAGTAAAATTCACTATCTCCGGTGCCCACCTGCCAGGAGATAGATGTGAATCCCATTTTGATATAACTTTCACCGCTCTCACCGAATTGTCCATCTCATGCATCTCGCGCCACACAATTCCAAATCCTCCTCGCCCAAGTTCCTTGCCTCGCACCCACTTATTCACTTCGCTCGGGAGCATGGTCAGTCTCCACGGTCAGAGCAGTCGGTGTAAGGCATCCACTTACCTTCGGCTAGATGTCGCCAAGCACTAGCGTGTCATTCCTCATACTCTGCACTCGACATCCACTCACATCCGAGAAGACGCCGGGCACAAGCGTGTCAGTCCTTAGCCATCGCATCCATGTTTGGATCTGAGATATCTGCAACCATGATTAATTATTTCAGTTCCCACTTCAGGAGGCTGGTAGACAAAACTACTCAATGGACCGTAATATTCCCGGTATTTGCTCTCGCGAAATGATTGGACGGCCGTGCCGCAACACCAGGGCCGCATGCTGCATTCTGTACAAATCTTCGGGAAATAGACCCTGTCTCGGGGGTGCCGATAACATAGAGAAGGCAACGAATACGGTACTGTAGGAAGGCTAAGTAACTGCTCCACCATCCGAGCTCGTAGTCGACCTGATAGATTGAGAGGCTTCGAAGGGAAAGGGCATCAGGCAACGAGTTGTTGAAGCATATCTTAATGCACAAAACCGAACAAGTAGAACATCTGAATACGTTAGCGTTGCAAGGCATTGGCTGTCTGCTGTTGACCGTGGACAAACGTTTAGCGGCTAATGAAGGCAATGTAGTAGCAATAGCTTGACATTAAGGGGACAGCCATTGACCCGTGGGAGTGTAGGAGCTCAAACGGGCTGCGGGTATAGCGCCCGTCGCCGCGCAGGCCATGTAGACGTAGCAGCCATAGCCATTACTGGAGAGAGTAGTGTCAGTGTAGCGGTCGACGTGGTCGTCGAAGAACTAGTATTGGCGGTAGCAGCATATACCGAACTGCGGGCGGAGCATGGCACGACTCTGAACTGTGTAGGGCATTGATGAGGGTTGTACCGGCGACGAGAACTTGGCTAGCCACGGCTGCTTCGACGCGGTTTGTATCGTCACGCTGGATGGCGAGCTGCTTGGGGGTATAAGGGAGATTTGGCGGACATCGATCCAAGTCGCAGGCGCAGTGACAGCAACGAGAAGCATTTCCGTATTCAGTAACTAGGTGTACGCTAAGGCTGCTAACGTACGCTTGGCTACCAAATATGGAAATAAACCATCTGGTACACCACTTGGCATAACTTTCCGAGCTCCCGGAAATCCCCGAGAGCTCGGTTATTGTCGACTGCTACCCCCCTTCTAAGATCCTACGGTAGTTATACGATCGACCTTCAACTGACCTGACGTGCTATTGGTTGTGGGTGCTTGGGATGGAGCTGCAAGTCATCGTCAGTGCTTCTTGGCGGATCAAAAGTTTGCATGGAAATTGATATCAGTATGTACAAAGCGAAGATAAAATGGGGTTCCGTCAAGATCCGAAGCAGTAGCCGAAGCAGTAGCTATTTTTTAATTAAATTAAAAAAAAGAACTGAAGCCCCGAACTATGCACAAAATAGCCTGAAGTGGATCCCAAACGAGTATCCTATTTTCGACCCTTGCGTGCGTGCATTTTATCTTTTTCGGCACGTGTACCCATGTCGCCGAGCGTAATTCCACCAACGCTCGAACTGCGGTAGCATTGTCAGGTGTGCTGTAGTCGTAATTTGGCACCAATCGGCAATATTCGCGTCTTGGTGTGCAGCAGGTTTCAAGGTTCGCGCATGGTGAATGTCGCCGTCTTGTGTTCCATTATTGCAGGAAGGAGCAATCACTAGTGGCAAAAGGCCTGTAAGCACATGTGGTCTAGTGAACGAAAGTTATTATTGTCAAGCATGTGAAGTACACGATATGATCCGATTCGCTTACTACTTTTCAGATCGGAACGCATCTAATGTGGAACACATACTCACCCAAAACTATGCTGTGAACCATGCATGCCTGAATAATGGTTGGCGCATCGGCATGATGGAACAAGCCAGTGTGCAAAGTTGGGGCACAGTTGAGCCTCAAAAATTCAAGGTAAGCGGGATACTCTCTAAGAACTTAGAGGCACAATCGATCCTAAAAATTACCCAACTCTGAACCTACTGTATCAACAACGCAATTCCCACTTCACGGTGAGCACACACGCAGCGACCATATCGGGCACATCCAGCAACCACAATACTACCAAGAGGTACGACATGACTAATACAGTATTAGGACAAAAGTTTTCGCGAATCGCAATTTTGCTGCAAAACAGGTGACATTTAAGGTGATGTATTTCCTCCACCACAAGTTGGAAAAAATTATTTGAACTTATAGACAGCTATATAAGTCTATAGATAATACAATTTAGGTATTTCTAACTTTAAAGATTGATTTGTAGTGGAGGTGTTGCTGATGCAAAGTGGTGCCTCTTAGGTGCAAAATTGCCAATTAACGAAAACTTTTGTCACGTTACTGTAGCAAGAACACAACGACTAACAGATACCATAGGTGACTACTATCATGCTATGCACAATCAGATCGAGGGCTCGACTCTTCACAGCGGGCAGCACTTACAATTATCACGGGTGAGTCTCTTCTGAACCCACACGATGTGAGGACGGTTTGGTAACCTGGCACCCCCCATAGCTAGAGATGACAGTCAGGATAAAGATGGTTGACAATTGCGTCATGACAACCAAGTAAGTGATTTACTTTGGGTCGACAAGAAGATCACTTTAATGGCTTAGCCAATGCCTTCACAATGACTGACTAAGGGATCGCGCAGTTGAACCACAAACGGAAAGAGTATGTTCTTAGACCTGCTGCCTATGGTCGGCTTCTTCATCCCCGGGAATGCCGGAGTGTCCCGGAACCCAGTGGATCTCTGTTTCAATGCCGTGGGCGAGGAGAGCCCGCGCCCGGCGGTTGATCCGCCTCGCTAGTCGTTGTCCAGGGCTCGGCTCCAGGTGTGTCGTCCGTTGGATGGCGGCTTGTGAGTCACTAAAAATCGCTACCGTCGTCACTCCATGTGTTTGCAGTGTTTCTCTTTTGTTGACCGTCTTTCCGAGTGCGAGTCGGATCGCCCACAATTCGGCATCAAAGACCTCCATTCGTCCAGTACCTAGGTAACTGCGGAAGGTCCTCCATTCGTTTCGTGTTTGCACACTGCTGCGGCTCCCACTCGGCCGTCGTCAGAGCGCGATCCGTCCGTCCACCACATCCAGACATCTGCTCCAATTTTGGCTTCCTTCTCTTCGTCGTCCAGTATGATTGTCTTGACCTCTGGTTCCTCGCCCAGTGCCGGCCAGCTCATGCCTTTGGCTGTCCGGCCATGTTCATGCTCTTTCTCGACTACTCTGCATATCAGTGCACCGGAAGTAGGGTCTTCATGCAGCTCCTTTAGTTTGCTGCCGCACGCGTTTGCTAGCCTCGCTGCGAATCATTGTTGTCTGGATCCAAGACTACCGGTGCAGGCGTGAGCTGAATCTTCCATAAGTGTTGGAACATGTCAATCCACACTCATCAAGGGCCGGTAGTTCAGTTGGTAGAGCATCCGTTTAGCATAGGAAGGTCCTAGGTTCGACTAGCCAGCCCACTCTTTTCTTGGTTTCTACAATAAGTGCACCCCGTGGGGTTATTGTTTATTCATACTGTACATACTTTTTTGTTTTTGTTTGAATCATATTGTATTCGGCCGCTTGTGGCCATGACATAATCTAACCTTTTCCCCGGTACTTCTTCAGTGTGACCATCAGGTGTCCCTTCTAGTCTCTTAAAGCAAAGTCGTACCCTCCCTTTCTCCTTCCCTTCTTCTCTCAAAAACCAAATATATATTTCCACCCTCCTCGTTCCCTGCCCGTCCCCTCCCTACACCCCCGTAACTCTTCTGACATCAGTGTCCTTCAAGAAATCCAGCACTGACTCCTCTGCGTCTTCACACTCGAACACTTGCGCCATCGGTACTCTGCCCCTTTCTTTCATCTTGCACTTCTTCCTCAACTTCTCCCACAGAGTATCCTGCTGTCGCCTCCACTTTTTGCATCATTTAAACAAATGATCTACTGTCTGCGTTGAGTGCCCGCACCACCAGCACTCCTTGCTCTCTTTTTTCTTTATGCGTTCCAGATAAACTCCCGTCAGTGCATGCCCCACTGGAGAAACCTTCCCGCAATGATCTTCTTGGATCCGCTCAACAACTTGCTCATCTTCCTCTTCTTATTCATTCTGTACCATACTGTACATACTGTATTTACTCTAACTAGAGTATGACAGAGCCCCATATCACCTCCGCCTCCGGGCGAGCCGGCTTGATGACGGATCTCCCCCCTCCCCGCCCAGGGTGGATCTGGCTTGTCGATTTAGAAGGAGTTAAAGGTCGTCTCGCCTGCCCACTTATTTCGGATCCCACCAGAGCTCGCTCCCATATTGTGCGACGGCTTGGACGCAGGCTATTTAGACAGCTCTCACGCTCTCTAGAACGACTCCATACATCTTTGTAACAGTTCAGAGTCTAGGTTCTGCAGCGCTGGCTTTTTTCATGCATCGGTTATGGTGCTCCTTGAACGTCAGGTGGGCGTCCATCCAGGCACCCAGCCACCGTGTCGCCTCTTTGTTAAATCGGACGAACTCGTCTCCGACTCTTATCTTCGCTGTCAATTTTAGTCGGAGGTGCTTCTTGTGGCCTCGTCTGCGCGTAAAGAGCGCCGCCTCCGTCGAATTGCAGTCCTCGTTGGCTTGCCCATTCGATGCTCTTTGCTGCGCATTTCTCGAGTTTCTTGACGACCTGGTTGACGTTGCTTCCAGTCGCCACCTAGCGGAGGTCGTCCACAAAAGAGAGTCCTTCGGCTGAGACATACTCTTGTATCCTCTTGATCAGTCCTGAGGTGTAGATCGCGAAAAGAATCGGCGATACAGGTGAACCCTGCGGGACCCCTGCTTCCATTGGCTGTCTCTCCATGGCATTTCCTTCGATTACCATCTCCATCGTCCTTTCTGAAAGAAAGCTCTCTGTTTACCGCATGAGGTATCCATCCATGTGCTTGCCCTTCATTGTGTTGACCAGCCTCCCTTTTGCCACGCTCCGGAAGGCTGCCTTAATGTCCATGAGAAGCACGCCCGTTATGTTGCCGTTCGTCCAAGCCGCGTGCGCTCTGTCAATCATGATGGCCGCTGCATCGATGGCTAACCGTCCCTTTCTGCTGCCGAACTGTCCATCCTCTTCTCTCGGCTTCTTCTGACAACAGCTCTGCGACTACTTTTTCCACCACTTTTCCTATGCAGTTGAGCAGCGAGATGGAGCGATAAGCCTTCAGCTTCGTATTGCCGTCTTTGCCAGGCTTGTGAATCACAACTCCGTTGGCCCGCTTCCACAGAGCTGGATGTTTTCCCGTGCGAATGGCCGCTCACGATCCTCTCTTTGTCCCACTTCCAGAGCAGCCGTATGGCTCCAAAAGACAGCTTGTCTGGACCAGGTGCTTTCTTAACCGATTGAGAGTGTAAGGCTCGCTCGACTGCTTGCTCGGTAACTCGTGTGTGACTGGTCGTCATCGTTAGGACGAAATGATTCGCGGTTCAGCATCTCTTCCTTCTCCGTGCGGTGTTCGCTTGCTTGCCATCTCTGTCCGTTAGGGCCTCCACGGTTGCGCCCGCCCAAGGGTTGACATATTTCGCGCTCCACACCTCGACTCCTCTAAGGTTCTACAAGTAGTCGCTCCACATTTGGCTCTTGGATTTCCGAATCGACTTCTGAAGCTCCACTTTTGTTGCATATATGCATTTCGTCCATTGTTTCTTACCTTGTATGAGGTTATGGCTTGTATGAGGTGTTGACACAGGATTTTGCCCGAAAGGCCTTCAAGTTTCTAGACGACCAGGAAGCTGCTAGAATGGACTGGAGAGTGATTGCTAATGGTCTGAGTCACGGTGTAGACTCATACATGATCAGTCACTCGCCACTTGCATAGCCACTGGTCGATTTGTAATATATGTTCACGATGGTTCTTCAGCCAAGGTTCAGGATTTTCACAGTTTTTCCTTGAGTATATTATAAACCATAGATTTCTCCCGTAGTTAATTCGATAGACAATCACTTTTGTATAATAGTTAATCAACCTCTTTGTGTACTCGATTACTCTCAACATGAGATTATGGCTTGTATGAGGTTCATGGCTTGCATGCATACAATCCATAAGCACTAGAGTTTCAAACTGTATGTCAAGCCGTATATAGACCATAGATCTCTGCATAGATTGCATAGAAGAATCAAGCAACAGGTTATGAGTATGGCGCCAGCTACCATCTAAAGAACTATTACCATACACTTCTATTCTGATATCCCACGATCTTCCAAGAGCCCCCAACGCCGCCGTAGCAACACCCGCATCAACATATACCAAAACTCAATACCATCAAACATTGTTACAATGACTACCGATTCATTCAAGTCTGATCACGGGTTCATTGCAAAATTGACTCAGGATAACTACCCCATCTGGAAACAGAAAATTTGCCACGTGCTCATCACAAAAATGGCCTACGATATTATCACTGATATGGAGCTTCTTCCTATCGGTCAAGGAGTTGCTCTCTGTCCTCTGCGGTGTCGAGTGAGATCAGATGATTACATTAAGGTTGAGGCTCGGTAGGAGCACCAGGTTGTATTCGATTAGCGTGGAGTCAAGGCTGCGATTTACACTTCTAGCAATTGATCATCATCCCCATCATCTTCGTTAAGTAGCCTTTGTTTCTCTCTCTCGAGAACGTACGTCTCAACAAACTAGTAACCACAGCACGGATCCAGAGAGAAGAAGCAGACCGCTGAACAACTTTCCGCCTGAAAATTCCGATCATATAGAACTATCTTTCGACAGTATCGTCAATTATCGTTTTCCGGCTGTAGAGTGTCGCTATACTCTGTTGGGAATGACATCACAGTCAATCTGGCAACTCCGAGGAGCTTCGAACAGTTTCTCCTTGAGGGTTCAGCCAAAATTGTTACCAAGTTCCAAAGAGACGGGAAACAAGGTCTCTTTTTAAACGTCGACTTGGAGCACGCCTCCAAAACCTCATCGATCACCCCGACCAAAATGTTGCGATCAAAGCTATCGCCATAGCCCTCGAACGACTTGATAACTAAGATTTATCAAGAGAGAAGTGGGCTAAATTACTAGAAGCCTATAGAGGTTAATTTGGACTTGTCAGCTATCCAGACCTCCCAAGAAATACCCCAAACAACAGTCAGATCGTCCGACTTCCTAACAGAGAGGATTCACTCCATCATTTGGCTTCAATAATCCCCGGAGCATTCTCTCCCGCTCATTACACAACATCCAACGAATCATGTTCATCATTGATTGTCAGTCCCGATCAGCTTGTCATCTTCGACATCTCTAGATTTATCGAGACTTCAACTCCTGAACCAGAAGAGGAGAAAGAGGTCACGCCTGAACCATCATTAGTCAATACCCCCGAAGAGATCTCAAGTGCATATGAGAAGGATGTTGAAATTTGGGAGCAAGAGTGCCGAGCACATAAACGACAACTCCTCAGATACCTAGGCGACAACGGCATCCCACTTAACGAGTACGACCTCCATTATCAGCAACACTATGGAGGAAACTACGACGGTGACGAGGATCTTACAGAACCTGAATTTGAGAACGAAATAATGGCCGCCTAAGCAGCTCAAAAGGAGATCACATCAGCAAAATGTAAAATGCTCCTGGAGCGTTGGTGTAGTCACCCGGAGGCTCCGGGAGAAATGGACCTAGTTTCGAACCCTCCTGGAGCTCTCACCAAAGCTCCCGGAGACTCATGGATCTTGCACCGGCGCTCCCGGAGGCTCCAGAATCATGTTCCGGCTTGCGCGCTCGGCCTCGCTGGGCGCATGAGCGAGAAAAAGTCAGGTAGATTACTCTTGGAGTCTCTAGGGAGAATTGGAAAAGCTGCGAACATTCTTGGAGCTCTAGCCAAGTTCTTTCGAAATCTTGACAGTTATGTTCTCTATTTCACAAGGTTTCGGCGCACCTGACCCCTGAGTGTCGGAGCTCCGAAAACTACTGCAAGGATGCTCGATGCTTCTGAGATCGTGAGATCCTCATCGCTCCTGAGATTCTCAGCGCTCTAGAGATCCTCGGCGCTCCTGAGATCCTCGGCACTCATGACATCCTCGGCACTACTGAGATGCTCGACGCCCCTGAAATGCTCGGCGCTCCTGAGATGCTCGGCGCTCCTGAATTCACGTTTGCACAGGCCTTGGATGAGGGTGAAGTCTTGATTCTATTGATATCTATCTACAATATATACACGGTTGGACGAAAACAAAGGAGATGAGAGACGGCTTTGAAGCAGGCTTGGAGAGAGATGGATGAGATGGCTGACAAGCTGGCTTGGAGAGAGATGACGAGATGACTCTCAAGCAGGAATGGAGATGGACGAGATGGATCTCAAGCAGGCTTGGAGAGAAATGGAGGAGATAGATCTGGAGCGAGCTTAAAGAGAGATGGACGAGATGGATTTCGAGCGGGCTTGGAGAGAGGTTGAGGTTGCCGGGCACGAGTAATTGTGAGACGGTCGCTGAAACTGGTTGCTGAAGCG